ACAATTGCATGTAAATGAGCAAACCTGATTGGCGTAAATAATTTTTTTTTCTCGTAGACTCAGGAGGAATCGAGGAGGGTTGTTGAGAAGCATATTTTATCATATTGGTATCATTCTGTAACCCGCCAAGGAAGATAAAAAAGCTTCAATCGAAACTGAAAATGAACGAAAGCTCTAGGATGTGACTCAAATCAAAATGTCTGACATGATGTCCTTTCATGAAGCAATACATGCTTCTTGTACAGAAACGCTATCGTTCTTCGTTGGAAGTGTGCCTCCTCCACTATTCGAATATTATTTTTAAGAAGGGAACAGTACTATACCTAAGATGCCGCATACCGAGTCGCTTCACGCAAGATGGAAAGCCGTGCCCAGATTCTTCCTTGCTTGAAAGCATGGTGTAATTTCCTGAACTTTTAAACGCAAGGAACGGGGGGTTCTTCTATTAACGTTGCAGAACAATAAGGTTTTGTATTAGGCACATGTGCGTGTCTATCTTCTACGTTTTCATGAGACAATAAATGCCGTAAAGTACACTGCAGTGCCATCCTGTATTCAATCCATCCCAGGAAAGCGTTAGCACTAGTATATAAACTGCCGCAGGATTCAAAGCACCGCCCTATTCCATCAGAATCTCACTATCTACGAAAAGAAAAAGGAACTATTCGGCCTCTCCCCTTGAAAGTGTCTCTTACGAACACTACTTCCAGGATACTATTGAGTTGAAGAAAAGTCACTGAAGAAACCTCGTCGTCACAATGAAGCTTTTCAAAACCCTTGCATTTACCAATGTTCTCATTCTGCTTGTTCTTATGGTTCCTACCACAGGAGCTAAAGCTGGAAATGGATGCAGAATGATTACGACGAAAGGGCTGAGGAAGTTGTTGTCCAAGGTTAGAGTGGAAGGTCGTGCCTGCGAAGCTCGATGTGGATTCGGGACAATTGGGTTTGTCAACTACAAGGGATTTTGCATAACGCAAGAAATTGCCGATGAGGTCAGTAAGGCGTTCGAGCGTTGCAAGAGAGATTGTCAAAGTTTGCCAGGTTTTGCGGTATGCCGTAGCAGCAGGTCTGGTTGCTCAGTCACACCGATTTCAATTTTTTGGTGGAGTGACTACCCATCGTTCTGTCCAGACTATACTTGCTAAGAGTGTGAGTTCTCCCAACCACATTCATACCCCTGCACGGGAAGATATTGTTGCTACTTGTGCTGTTCCGTCCCTTTCGGAATCAGAAGATGCAGATATAGTCGGCTAAACCTAAGAATCTGTAATAAACTGCTCTGAATGGAGAATCCTTCCCAAGCGATTGTTTCAATGTTTATACAAGACGAAACTTTTGCGAGTCCACGACAGTTCCGTTGAATCTGTGACAAAAGCAGTTGTTCAAAAGGGCATTTATTTGCGCTCTTTCATGTAGAATTGAGTCGCGGTATTCATTTGTGCAACAAATCCTCAGCCGTTACACCTCGAGCGAGTGAGGGTTGAGAGCACGTTCATGTCTGAACATCAGAAGGTTTACCGCTTGTCTGGGGCGTCTTGAGCAGAGTGGAAAGTGAAGCCAAGAAAGCAAGTGAGGCTTGTTGGTAGACTCAGAAATTCTATCGAGAGGGGACAGCGGATGGACTCATAATACTGTAACTGACAGCATGCTGTCTACTTGGATACACTGCAAGTGGAAATGCGACGTGAATGAGATGTTTGTGACATTTTGTTTCCATCCTTCGTTTCTTTTGAGGGACTTTAGTTTGCGTCAATGCTTGGCTAAATTCAGTGACAGTGCTACAAGTTCATTGTTGTGTAGTACTGCTTTGTGTGGGTTTTCGCCTAGTGTCGCAGATAACTCAGCAGAAAGCACAAGGCTGTCACGTTTACGATGGTTTGAGATGGCAAACATGCCGCAATTACCGCCGGGTGTAAAGCACAATGAATGGTTTTTTTACTACAGAAACGGGGTACACATAAGTTTGTGTGCAAGCAGGAACGGCCATAAGTAGAAAAAAGCAACGTGTACGAATCATGTTACCCTAAGGGTAAAGTTACTGCACTGTATGAATCAATTGGAAGGCTGTCGTTACTGTACTGGATACAGGAACGAGGAAAGTCGTTGCTCATCATGCAATATCGAGGACAGCAATACAGTGTCACCCAGGCAGGAACGAGAATCAGTACATTTGAAAAAGTTCATCTTCGGAACAGACAGCGAAATGGGTTTCGGACGAGTAAACGTAAGGAAAGAGACATGACTTTTTTGTTTGGTACAAAGTTAAAAAGGATACACCTGCTATTCTGATACTGTATGAGTTCTGGTATGACACCCCGAGATTCTCTCTTGATAATAGGAAATCAAGATGAAGCATGTGGGATTTCGTGAGGAATTCCTTTAAAGAATTAGGAAAAGAGATTTTTTTTATTAAAGTGTCAATGGACAAGTCTACGACCGGACCGTCCGAGCCCATAAAGAAAGACAAGTTCTGACGCATCCAGCAACTTAGTAAATGGATGCGCCTCCATATCAAAATTTGTTTCACAAGCAATTGGTTACGGATCAGGCGACTTTAAGCGATGGAGCGGACAAGACTCGATAGTCGCTAGGTGGCATACCAACAGTGCGTATCATTACCTCAATGACCCTGTAGGAATTCCGTTAGAAATGAACTTCTATGGATCACTACGCATCACATGACACAGAATAATGTCAATCGGGGAAGGTTGAAAGAATGGTGCATTCTGCTGCAAACGATGCAAGGCAGCAAGTGTACAAACCGCATGCGAATAGACTTGATTTGCAGAAAGCCCATATCGGATATACTGAAGCCCGTTTGGGGCGATGTGTAAGCGCCTTAGAGACTTGTTATTCAGACTGGCGCAGTGGAGAACGCGCTCCAGTCGGTCCATTGGTCGTTCTTCTTGACCGAAAATGTCTGTCCCGAATTTTTCAAGGCGGGCACCTATACGTTGGAGGACGCCGCACAGTTCAAAAAGCGATATGCGAACGCAAGTGAGATGCAACTCCATCAAGTTTGGTAACGTCTGCACAATGTTCAGCAAAACACCCGTCTCGACATCTGCGAGTGGGATGGCGTTGTCGTGGCGCTTTATTTCTGTAACGGGATGCCATCGTAAATCGAGAACCTGGAGAGCAGTTAACGCGTCTGCCACTCCCTCAAAAACGCATGCAGCTTCCTCACTCACGCTGCATCTGAGGACCGTGAGACGAGGAAAGCAAGCGAGGCTAAAAACCGCATCGCCGTCAAAGCAAGCCCAAGACGAAATCTCCGTCACCGAATTGCCGACTACCAACGCGTTTTCAAGAGCATAGTGCTGATGAAAGACGTCGTAGACCTGGACAGAATCTAGACGTCTCAGAAACGGGACTGTTGACTTTTGAATCATCCTCAGCTTGACTTCCCGGAGTAGCGGCATAGCCGGTAGCATAGTCTGGAAGGGGTCATCGTCGCCCTGGCAGTCACAGTCAACCTCAAGTGAGACAAGTCGCGGACACAAGCTCGGAAGATAATTCGCATGTGCTTTGTCGACGTGGAAACAGCTCAGAGGACATCGTTCCTCTGCGTAGCTGCACCAGCAATGAATGCTCAACTTTTCTAGGTTGAGTGACGACAAGGTGTTGCATATCAACTCCGGGGGTGACTGGTGAGTGAGGAAGAGCTGCAACTGCCTCAGGGACTCCGACTTCGCGGCAGCGAGCAGGACGAGGGGGTCGTCCCACACGCTAGCCTTTCGCAAGAGTGGGGCCTGGAAAAGTCGGAGACTTTCGGCGCAGTCTTGGTACTGTAGGCGACGCACGTCGGGAAAAAAGTGAAGCTCATGCGTCTCCGCGGCGAAGACTCTCGCCCACCGGTCGTTGTAGTCGCGAGCGCCGGGCTCGTTCGACTGCTCAAACTTGTAGGTGAGAGCGTGAAGGACGGCGAAGCGCTGCTTGGAGCTAACCTCCGCTAGGCACAAAGCGTCCACCGTTTGGAGACCCGTGGATACATGCGCGGCTATTCGCTCACACATGTCCGACGGGAGCGTATCTAGCCAAACCAGACGCTTCTCTTTTGTTCCATGCATGTTTGAATTACATAAATGAAGCCTAGCGGCTCGAGAAGAGTTGAAACTTGAGGGGGCCATGGTTTTTAAGGGGTTGGCAGGTGCTCGCTGCAGGAAAGGGTGAGTGCTCACACGGTTGCTGCCGTGCATGCACATCAGACGTCGCGATAAGTGACCGAGAAAGCGGACAGGCGTCAGACCGTGGACCTCGGCGGGGGGGTTCAGCCGTGCAAGGGACTCATCAGTGCTGAGGTCGATGAAACGTTGGGCGCCGCAACCGCCGCCCAACACTTCATCGACCTCAACACTGATGTGTCCCTTGCACGGCTCGGTGATTCGTCAAGAGGGGCGTCTCGCAGGGAGCTGTAGATTTACGAAGCGTCTCATCCCTTCCGTACACGGACGCATTGGCAATCCGTCAAGTGTCCTCGCGGTGGAGCAGCAGCAGGTTCCACTCCTGTATCTTACGGCCTCGCCGAAAGACGTATGCACGACGCACGACAAAAACTTAGTGCTCGGCCCGCTCTTTCGTGACTCGGATTGAAGACGAAGGGCGGGGTACTGTATGGGTATGCAAAAGCGAAGATGCAAAACTAGAGGTCGGATTTAAAAGCAAAAAACAACCCCGCCCCACTGGATACGCCTCCACAAAATCTGGTTCTGACTCTCCTGGTTGGCGCACCCAATATCTCCGGGGCGCACCTTTGCCACCCCCCCCCC